GATACATAGTCCACTGCTACCAAGATGTACTGATTTGAGAATGAAGGGGTAAAAGGTCCCATGAAGTTAATTTCCAAGACATCGAATATCTCCACTTCCAAAATGTTATTCAGTGGCATTTCATTCCTCCTTGAGATATTTCCAGTGCGTTGATATCTGTCACACCTCTTGACAAACTCAAAGGCATCTCCAAACAGTGTAGGCTAGTAGAACCCTGATTGTAGAATTTTGTAGCTGTTTTCGAAGCCCCAAAGTGCCCTGCATATGCAGATGAGTGGCAATGCTCGAGAATCTCATGTACTTCTTCCTCAGGTATACATCTCCTTACTATCTAGTCAGCCCCTCGCCTATAGAGAATTGGATCCTCACAGAAATAATACTTTAATTCGGCGAAGAACTTTTTCCTCTGGTGACTTGAGTAGTCCGGCATTGGGATGGAACCGGCCAAGTAATTGACGATATCTGCATACCAAGGTGCTTCATCTACTCTCAACATCTACTCATCTGGGAAGATCTCATTGATGTCCACTAATTCTTCTGTCTCCCCAGGCTTTAATCAGGATAGGTGGTCCGCTACTACATTCTCACTGCCCTTCTTATCTCGTATCTCGATATCAAATTCTTGCAGCAACAGCACCCAATGAATCAATCTCGGCTTTGCATCCTTCTTTGTGAGTAGATACTTCAATGCAGCATGATCTATGTAGACGATGACTTTAGACCCGACAATGTATGATTGGAATTTGTAGAATGCATATACTATGACCAACAGCTCATTTTCAGTGGTGGCATAATTGATTTGCGCATCATCTAGAGTTTTGCTTGCGTAGTAGATCACATGAAAAAACTTGTTCCTCCGTTGTCCTAATAATGTATCCACGGTGTGATCACTGGTATCGCATATCAATTCAAAAGGCAGTTTCCAGTCTGGTGCCACGATTACTGGTGCTGTCGTGAGCTTCTCCTTTAAAGTGTTGAATGCTATGAGACATTCCTCATTAAACTTAAAGGTTACGCCTTTCATTAGCATATTGTATAATGGCTTAGTGATCTTCGAGAAATCTTTTATAAATCTCCTGTAGAACCCCGCATACCCCAAGAAGCAGCGAACTCCTTTAACTGATGTAGGTGGTGATAACTTCTCAATAACTTGAATTTTTACCTTGACCACCTCAATTCCTTTTGTCGAGATCCGATGCCCGAGTACAATGTCTTCCTGTACCATAAAGTGACATTTCTCCCAATTTAAAACCAGGTTAGTCTCCTTGCATCTCTATAAGACCAGCTTTAGGTGTTTTAGACATTCATCGAATGAAAATCTAAACACTGAGAAGTCCACCATGAAAACCTCAATAAATCTTTCAATCATATCGGAGAATATTACCATCACCTCTGAAATATGGCTGGAGCACTACAAAGACTAAAAGGCATCCTACGATAAGCAAAAGTACCGTAGGAAAAAGTTAAAGTGGTCTTCTCCTGATAATCTGGTGCGACAGGTATCTGATTGTAGCCCGAGTATCCATTAAGGAAGCAGTAGTGTGAATGTCAAGCTAACCTCTCCAACATCTGATCAATGAATGGAAGTGGAAAGTGATCCTTTCGTGTAGCTACATTGAGTTTGGATAATCGATGCAAACTCTTCATCCCGTAACTGTTCTTGTGGGAATTAATTCATTCTTCTCATTTTCACCACTGTGATTTCCCCTTTTTTCGGCACCACTTGAACTGGACTGATCCATGCACTATCTGAAATTGGGTAGATAATTCCTGCATCCAGTAATTTTAATATCTCTATCCTGACTGCTTCCTTCATGTTTAGATTCAATCTTCTCTGACCCTCTATACTTGGCTTGTAATTTTCTTCCATTAGAATTTTATGCATACACAGAGAAGGGATGATCCCTTTAATGTCAGCTATTGTCCACCCAATCGTCGTCTTGTTCTCTCTGAGTATACTAGGGACCTAGAGGCATCTGTGGAGTAGTACAAGTCATCGTCTCATTATGCCAGGGCCTTGCATTCATATGGGAGAAAGATGATGGACGAGTCCATCAAATTAACCAAAGAGTAGATATCGATCAAGCACCCTTCTATTGACCCCTCAGGTTTTGATAAGTTCCTTGCATAGCGCAAAGGGTAGGAGAGTGGGGTGCAGCCATCTAGGTCACTTGGTCATTCGTCGCAGGGCAACAATGGTAGTGCTTTCCCTTCGAGTTGAAGCATGGCTTAGTAGTAGCATCTTTTGTTAGTTTTCCTCTTTTTTGTGTCGCCTTTTTTTCTACTTGTAGTATCATTTCCTACTTGTCCGGGGTGTGGGCAAGAGCACATCACATGCTTTTTGTATGAATGCTATGTTATAGCGGTTATTAATGTTGAACACATCGTTCTTTTAACTTGTTTTTTGTTTAGTGTTGTCTTCCACGTTCAATCATTTGACAGCATGGGTAAATATCATTCGTCCTGCGCGTGCTAGGCTTGATTATAATGTTCGATGACCTTAGCCAACATTCTGACCATTTAAGGCTTTTCGCATAGTCACGAGGACTAGTTGGCCGTTGTGAGAGGAGTCTAGTGGTTAAGGACCTTAGCCAATTTTTTGGCTTTTCAAGGCTCTCCGCCTAGCCGTGTAGGCTATGTCGACCATTAAGAGGTGGTCTGGCGGTTAAGGGCCTTAGCCAATTTTTTAACTTTTCAAGGCTCTCCACCTAGTCGTATGGCTATGTCGACCGTCAGGAGGTGGTCTGACAGTTAAGGGTCTTAGCCAATTTTTTGGCTTTTCAAGACTCTCCGCCTAGCTTTCTGGGCTATGTCGATCGTACGTCTTCACGGGATGAGCATGGAGATTCAAGATTGCATGTTAGCATAAAAAATACTTGGATTTGGTGGGCCGTCTACATTTCAGATATGGCATGGTAAAACCACACTTGTAGAGCTGTACATCAGTGACGGTAAATGAAGCTACTCGAGCTTTCAATCTCCTTGCCTCTAGAGGGTTTTTCGATACCTTATCTTCTGCTAGATATTTGATTATCAGATCTATCCAACTTTTTTCGTGTTCGATATTCTTTAGCTCAGCCCAGACTTAAAGATGGGTTGTTGTAGAACTTGAACACTCGCTGTCCGAGGTAAGTTTTTTGGGTTGGGCGATGCAAGCTTTGCTAGTGCATTTGCGCATTCATTATCTCTTTGCGAGACCTTCGTCACCTTAAAGCTTGCGAACCCTCTTTGCAAATCCCTTACTTTCATTAGGTATGCTGCCATCCTCCCATCCTTTTCTTCATACTCTCCCGATACCTGCCCTACTATTAGCTGTGAGTCACTACATATCTCCACTGAAGTCATTCCCAGCCTTGCTGCCAAACCCAAGCCTGTGATGACTACCTCATACTCGGCATCATTATTGGTAGCAGGGAACTAAAAGCGCAACGAATATTCCAATTCTTCAGAGTCTGGTCCGATCATTATGATTTTTGCTCATGATCCCTCTGCATTCGAAGAACCATCTACAAAGATCTTCCAATCTACCTTCTCCCCTTTTGGGGGCTCTGTCGAAATGGTGAGCTCGACAATAAAGTTTGCCAGGGCTGTGCTTTGATGGCCGTCCTGAGCCTAAATTTAATGTCAAACTCACTTATTTCAATCGCCCATTTTTGTAGCCTCCTGGAGGTTTTTGGTCGATATTGGATTTGCTTGATGGGTTGGTCAGTCATTACTTGTACCGTATAGGATTGAAAGTAAGGTCTAAGCTTCCTCACTACAACAATCAACGCGAGCACCAGCTATTTGGCCAGGCTGTACCTTGTCTCTATGCCTTTGAGGACCTGACTAATGTAGTAGATTGATTTTTTGCCTTTGGGAGTTCTTTCACAAGAACGGCGTTGACTGTCTGTGGCGACACCGCAAGGTAGAGACACAATACGTCACTAGGGCATGGGCTAGTCAGAATAGGAGACTGCTATAGTGACTTCTTTAAGGATTCTAGTGATTCTTTGCACTCTTGAGTCCACTCGAAATTGATGGAGTCCCCTATGGCTTTAAAGAAGTGGTAACACTTATCTGCCGCCGACTCATAAAGCGATTGAGAGCCGCCACACGCCCTATTAACAGCTGAACCTCTTTCTTACTAGTGGGGCTCTTCATTTCTAGTATTGCCTGTATCTTGTCAAGGCTTACCTCAATTCCTCTTTGGGTGATCATGAAGCCTAGGAACTTCCTGCCGACAGTACCGAAGATACACTTCTCCGGTTTGAACTTCAAGTTATTGTGTCGAGCCACATCAAATACTTTCTGTAGACAAGCCACATGATCTATCGCTTTGGCACTTTTTACTACCATGTCGTCGATATAGACTTCTATGAAATTTTCAATCAGCTCCCAAAAGACTCTTTTCACCATCATTTGGTAGGTTGCTCCTGCATTTTTGTGGCTGAACGGCATGGCCGTGTAACAATATATCTTAGAATCTGTGATAAATGATGTTTCTCCTAGTCGAGCTCAGCCATAGAGATTTGATGGTACCCGAAAAATGCATCCAGGAAGCTAAGTCTTTCATGACCTGACGTGACATCGACCAGGTGGTCAATCTAGGGGAGTGGGTATGAGTCCTTTGGGTATGCTTTGTTAAGCCCGGTATAATCTACACACATGCATTATTTCCCGTTTGACTTCTTCACTAACACGATGTTGGCCAACCACTCAGGGTACTGCACCTCCCAAATAAAACTAGCTTACAGTAGCTTTTCCACCTCCGCCTTTGCCACTTACTGCCTTTCAGGGGCGAGGTTCCTCTTTTTCTGTTAGACTAGTTTAGCTCCGGGGAGAATGCCAAGGCGATGTTGAGCGATGGCTATGCTGATCCCAGTAATGTGGTTCAGGCTCCATGTAAAAACATCTAGGTTATTTGCCAGGCACCTTACCAACTTCATTTTTCTTCAGATTCTAAACCGGCCCCGATGATAAACTCCCGTCCTTCTGATACGGAGATCCTTTTAATCATGTCAAGTGGTTCGATCCTCCCCTTCGGAGGTTCGACCTCCAACATCATAATCGATGGTATTCCCTTCACTGGTATATTGTATTCCCTTCACTAGTATATTGTCGACATAGCATTTCTTGGATGCTTCCTGGTCCCCTCGCAAACACCCGATTCCCCTACTGGTTGGGAATTTCATGACCTGTTGATAGGTCGAGAGAATGGCTCCAGTTACGTTCAGCAATGGCCGACCGTAGATCGCATTATAGGCCATGAGAGTTTTTACAACTAAGAAACTTACCACAATTACCATAGCGGTGGGATATATACCGAGCGTTACAGGGAGTTCCACGGTCCCTTCTGGAATTACCGTGGCCCTTCCAAAGCCCTGTAGTGGGGTGGTTACTATTTTCAACTTGTTATGGGAGATCTTTAACCCCAAAAAAATCCCATGTAAGTATATTTGCAACGCTTCCCCTATCAACCAGTACTATCTTCACGTCGAAATCAGCTATGTAGCCTACTATCACCGAGTCATCGTCATGGTGGTGTGCTACACCTACCAAATCCTCCTCATCAAAAGTGATGTTCTGACTAAACCTCACTTTTCTTTGGATGGAACAAATCCCAAGAGATTGTGCGTATCTTTTTCTTGCCGAGTTTGAATCTCCACCTCCTGCTATCCCCTCTGCAATCACATTTATCACTCCCGCCCTAGGTGGGAGGTAGTCCTCCACTTTTTGTTTACCCCGGTTGTCCTTTACATTTTTGCCCAAGAGCCCTCGTCTAAAGAGGCGCTTGATCTCGTCCTTCAGCTGTTGGCACTCTTTCGTATCGTGCCCGTGATCCTTGTGAAAATGACAGTATCTGCCTTGGTTTCTCTTACCGGGTGGCGTTGCCATGGGCCTCGGCCATTCAAGCTCCTTTATATCTCGTATCTCCATTCAAGCTCCTTTATTCACACGTGGGATGTTTAAAGGGGTGAACGTCCTGGGCTCCTCCCATTTTTTCCTGACTTGTCGGTCTTGCTTTACCCATCTACTCACTCCTCAGCTTATTTTTGTTGGCAGATCTCAGCTTGTCTCCTGTGTGACTCTCCATTTTCTGTCCCTCTCTGAGTTGTTTTGTGATCTTCTCCACTTTTTCGACATCAACATACTTGTCTCCCTTTTTCAATAGGTCGTGCATTGACTCTGGGGGGTTTATTGAAAAGTGACATCTTGAAGGCTCGGTTCTGATTTTCGTTCATCAACGCAGTCACCACTGCTGACATTTGGAGATCCTCTATTCCAAGGGACGCTCGGTTGAATCTGGCTAGATACTCTTGTAGAGACTCGTCCTTCTCCTGGATCACCTGCATCAGCCCGATGGCCGTCTTCCTCTTTTTTTTACTACTGAGGAAGTAGGTCACAAAGTTCCTGTAAAGTTCATCAAATGTTCAGATAGATCGAGAGGCAAGTGTCGCCACCCAGTCTTTGGCTTCTCTCCTGAGGGTCAGGGGGAAAGACTGACACATGACTGCATCAGGTGCTTCATTCAAATTCAACAACAATAACAAAGTTTTATCCTCATCTTCGAGAATACTTCATTCAAATTCAACAAGTCAGCTAACTGATTAGAAGTGATATGAACGTCAATAGTGATACCTAGTTGATATTGGAAGTTCAAGAGTTTATTTTTCTAATTGAGTCGATTTCCAATTCTCTTTCAATTAAATTTTCCTCTAGTGCTCTCCACATCTTTCTCTTAGATATAACGGATACTTTTGATTAACAGATACAAAAAATTACGAGTTTTACCAACTGCATTAAGATTGATTTTTGTGTGCATTATTATCTTCTTTGACTTTTCTTCCAAACCAATTTCTAGTTTCCAACTTATTGGCATGCCTAAGACCACGCATTGCTACATACCGAAATTATCGTACCATGCCAATTGTTCGAAAAAATGGATGTCAAATATTGCTAATGGAATAATAATAAGAATGAAAAATAGTGAGTCCAAAAATATAAGAAAAATGAGAACCCAAGAATTTACGAGGTTTGGTAAATTTTACTACTTGTGTCGTCATGCACTACAAAGCCTATCCTCTAACTTTAAAAGAGGAATATTGCAAACTTTAGTGTAATTGTGAAATTACGTAAAACTAGATGATTCTCGAGATATCATCTTCCTAAATCGATATGAACTTAGAAAAGAAAACAATATTTAACATTGATTTTTATTTTTTCAGAGCTCTACTAATCCTTTTCTTAGTTGTGACTATGCAAAGAGTAAATGGCTTGTTATAATTTATAGAGTTTCCATAGGAGGCTCGACTTTATCTAACTTCAGACTATCCCCTTTAAAAAAGGGTCTAAATGCTGTGGGGGTACGTCCAAGCTAATATTTTCCCACTTAATCTTCACAATGATCGTAGCTAGTAGAGAATGCCTTAGCAAGACTGAATGTAGTTCATATAATAAGATTTGACAAAATTTCATATTGGCTATTCAAATTACCATGACTCTCCCAATTTTCTCGGGCTACGAAAAAAAAATTAATAAGGTTAGAGAGAGATGCTCTTAAATTCAAGTGAGAGAAAGTCCTACTTGATTGCCTTGATTTCATGAGTTTTTCATTATGTTGGGTTTGATTTTTACTTCTTAGTGAAAATCGAATTTAACATATTTCATTTCAGTTTGGTTTGCTCATATCCGAGTTTTTTGGTGGTAACTTTCTGGTCATAAGTTATATTGTTCACGGTTCTTGTTCTTGGATATTGTGCCGGTTTGGGTTCCTAGTTCCAGCTTTGGTCTACAACATTGATTACTTTAGCTTCCTTTTCGTCCAGTTTGTCTTTCTCTTTGATTTTCTTAGCTGGTTTGGTTTTCTTTGGTAGCAAACTGTTCTTTTCTCCTTGGTTCTGGTTTCTTTATTGGCTACCGGGTCCTCCAATTTCAGGCTAGTATTCTGCTTGTGCTGGTTTTTTATTCTGTTCTTCAATTTGTTTCTTGGTTACCATTTTTCCTGGGTGTTCTTGGTTCTTCGTTGGAGTTTGTGTTTTCTTGTGTATGTATTGTGTATTTATTCCTGCTGGTCAGTTGATTTTTGAATCTGGTCTCTAGTTTCTGCATTAGCTGGCATGTTTTTTGGGGTTGGTGGCTGACTTCTGCAGTTTTGGTGTTACCTTGGCCATGTCTTCTGACCTTTTTGACTTCTTACAGTATTTTGCATCTTCTATTCCTGGTTTTCTTTGACCGCTTACTGATTATTTGGTTCTGGGCCGGGTCATTTAACTGACTTTGGACTATTCTATCTTCTCCTGGGCTTTTTTATTTCACGGCTGGGCCTTCTTGTTGGGACTATTTGTGTTGGGTCTTTATCAGTTCTCAGTTAATTTTGGGCTGCTCTTATTTCATCTTCGTTCTCTGCTACCTGTTTCCTTCCCAGCAGGCCATAGTTTTTGCTTTTTCATAGGTAAGAAAAAATATGTTGCAAGCCTTTACTCTGGGTTGACACCTCTTAAGCCCCAGACTATCCAGCAAGGTGATGGTTCCAGGGGTATTGCTGCCCCTTCGAAGTCCAATATTGCGGAGAGTAATAAGGTGAGTTTACCTTCACAAAGTGTATCATTGACACTTGGAGAAAATGATAGGGAATCTGAAAATTCTGACTTTGAATTGAATTTGGTGGATTTGAAGCAACAAAATAATGCTAATGTTACTAGAAATGAGGTTGTAAAAGATACTAAAGCTCCATGGGTTGATCTCTTTAAAGACGATAGGAAAATGGAGGAAATTTTAAGTTGAAGCCTTTTGAAAATCATTTGGAGAAAGTTGTTTTGGGAGAATTGGATGAAGATAATATCAAGAATACTTGGGGGTATGGTCTCTTGGATACTTTGCTGGTTGGTTTTTGGGGAAAGTGGCTTTACTCCAATTGTGTGATTCTTGGAAGGTCGAGTATAAATATTTTGTGCACTCAAGAGGATGGTTGGTTTTCAAATTTGAGACGGATGTAGATAGACTAAGTGTGTTGCATGGTGGTCCGTACTTGGTTTATGGAAGACCATTAATGTTAAAAGTCATGCCCCGTTATTTTGATTTTGATGACAAAAATGTTAGCACTATGCCGGTTTGGGTCAACTTACCGGGATTGCCTTTAGAGTTTTGGAATATGAATACTTTGGGTAAAATTGTCTCCAAAGTTGGCAAACCCATTTCGACCGATAAGGTCACGAAAAATAGGGGTAGACTTTCCTATGCAAGAGCACTAGTTGAAGTTGATGCTTCTATCGTGCTTGTATGGGTGGTAAAGATTAGACTTCCAAATGGCATCTTGAGAGAGCAAGAAATTATTTTTGAGCACGAACCTAAATTTTGTGGTTCTTGCAAAGTCTTTGGGCATTCATCTATTGGTTGCAATTTTAAGAAAAAATCTATGGGTGACAATAGCAAGCCCATAAGTAGGGAGACATCTAAACCCACTTCACAGGCTGCTCAGGTGAAAATTGGTCAAGCTGGGAATTAAAAAAAGGCAGCAACAAATCAACAGGAAAAGGATTCCGATGGGCAGGATAGGCAGCCTCTAAACTAAATTTGAACTCAGGCTCAACCTGGGGCTATTGACGGGTAGATTAGCCAGGCTGAGGACTAGCCGGACGCCCCCTTTGTTGAGTTAGTTCACATAAGAAATGGGGCTACCCATAAAAGGAATTCAATTTCTATTGAACCCACCCAACCGCGGACTAGCAGATGCTGTCATACGGACTATGTGGTGGCTGATCCTATGTTCAAAATCACAGGGACAACTTCAAAAAATGTAAGCAATGAAAAGCCTAAAGGTAAAGTTGATGAGGTAAGGAATGTGGTGAAAAAACCCGAAAAGAAGAAAGGTACCTCCCTTGCTTCAACATCATGAAGATCGGCGCATGGAATATTAGGGGCTTTAACCTACCCCGAAAATAAAATGGGGTTAAAGGTTTCATGAAACAACATGAGATTGATGTTATAGGTATTTTGGAAACAAAATTGAAAGATTCGAAACTTTGCCGAATTATGAGGAATAAATTTGGTGGTTTCAACTTTCCAAACAACTTTCAGCATCATAAAGCGGGCCGTATTTTGGTTTTGTGGAGTTCTATGAAGGCTGAATTGGAAGTTTTGGAGACTACCGCACAAGTCATCCATTGCTCAATCATGTGCAAGGTAACTTCACGTTCCTTCGTTGTTAGTTTTGTCTATGCATTCCATACTATTGTGACTCGCAAGCCTTTATGGAATAACATTGAGGAATTCGGTCTCAATTGCTCCTTACCATGGTTGGTCTTAGGGGATTTCAATAATGTGCTAAATTTTGATGAGAATAGTAATGGTGTCGACGTCACGCCGTATGAGATTAAGATTTGGATAAATATTGCCATATTGTTGGACTTTTGGATTTGCAGTCGATTGGATGCTTCTATACTTGGAACAATAATTCCGTTTGGAGCAAACTTGATAGAGCCATGATAAATGAAACTTGGATGCTTGAGAGTTATGACAGTTTTGCAAACTTTATTCCATTAGGGTGCCTCTCCGATCACTCACCTTGTATTGTTTCAATTTTCGGGGAAGTTGATAGGAAGAAAAGGCCCTTCAAATTTTTCAACATGTGGACATGCCATGAGGATTTTCATGAAGTGGTATCAAATGGTTGGAATAAAGTCTTTTTGGGATCTAAACAATTCTCTCTTTGTAAGAAATTACAAAGTCTTAAAGGGATGCTTAAGAAGCTCAACAACAAGCATTTTGCTTACGTTTCCTCTCCAGCCGACTTTGCTTCAAAAAAGTTGGAATTGGCACAAGTTAAATTGCATAATGATCAACAAAATCTTCAATTAAAGTGTGAAGTTTTTAGATTGAGAAAGGAGGCTACCACGCTATGTGAAGCGGAAAGGAGTTTCTATTACCAAAAAGCAAAG